ATCTATCTATCTATCTATCTATCTATCTATCTATCTATCTATCTATCATCTATCATCTATCTATCCATCCATCACCTATCTATCTATCATCCATCTATCCATCCATCTATTCATCCATCCATCCATCTATCGTAATTGTACATTTTACTTTTGGGGCATTTTTTCTTGTTAAAATATCATCTTCTTACACTCAACTCCAAACTATTTCAATAATAACCTGGAAACCAACTCAAAAGCAACTTTAATTTTACCATCTTTGGAACACCAGTAAAATTCACAGAAGGTGCCTGGATCAAAGGATAGTTGTAAAAACCTTTGTCTGGGATGGCAACAAAATTGGAGGCTCATCAAAGAACTGATCAATGCAATGCCATGGATTAAAAAAAATGTAACAGAAATCTACACAAGATGTCATATGCAGGGAAGATGTATTTATTCAATTTGTACCTCACCTTTATTTTTTTACAAATAACTGAAGGCAGCGAACATATTCTACACACCTTCTTCCTCCTATTTTCCTCACAGCAACCCTGTGAGGTGGGTTGGGCTGAAAATGACTGACCCAAACTCACCTTTTGTCAGAAATAGTGTAAGGTCTCTTGCTTGGGTGGGCAGGTTGGACTAGATGACCTACAAGGTCCCTTCCAACTCTGTTAATCTGTAACCTACCTGGTTTTATAATGGCTAAGGCAGAATTAGAACTCAGAGTCCCCTCTTTCTTGCCTGGTGCCTTAACCACTAGACCAGGGATCCCCAATGTCAGGGCTTCAACAAATCCCCCTCATTCAAAGCAAAAGTCTCTAGCCGCATCTCAGAAAAAGTAAATTGGTTTATTAGAAATTGCCAGTTGATATGTGGCTGGGTGCAGGCGGTACTAAATCACATCATACATTTCCCCCTTGACCCTGGTCTTTCCCCCAGCCCCTGGATGTGACTTTTCCAATAGGACACATCAGTCTCCAAGAGTCATCCATCCATCATGCTCTCCAATAACCTTATGCTTGGACAACTTTGGGCTGCTGAGTTGATATCTAGGCATTTCAAGAATGCCTTGTTTTCCCCCACTCCCTTTTTCTGGCAGCAAAAAAGACCGAAGGAGTATCTTTTTAGTTGATACCCAAACTGTGGGCCGTGGCCCACTACTGGACCGTGGCCTATTCCAGTGGTGGGATTCATTTTTTTTTTACTACCGGTTCTGTGGGCGTGACTTGGTGGGCATGGAAAGGGAAGGATACTGCAAAATTCCCATTCCCTCCCCACCCCCACTAACCTGCTTTCCAGCCCCGTTCTCCTGTGCAGGGCAACCAAAGACCCAGCTGATCAGCTGGGACTTGGGAGGCAGAAAATAGATGGGGGCAGGGCCGGTCAGAGGTAGTATTTTCCAGTTCTCCGAACAACTCAAAATTTCCGCTACCGGTTCTCCAGAACTGGTTAGAACCTGCTGAATACCATCTCTGGCCTATTTGCAATTGGGCCGTGTGAGTGGCGGACCGACACACTCACAACTTCACTGGTGCAAGTGCACACACCCCTGTTCACACAAATGAAGCTGTGTGCACACCCACCTGCCCCTCACACAAAACCATCCCCTCTGCCCCGCAGGGCCGAGCCGCCAACCCAGAAAGGTTGGGGAATCCTGCACTAGACCAAACTTTCTCTCCAGTTGAAATGTTAAATCCTGCTTTTAAAAAACAAAAAACAAAACCTCTCCTCCAAAAGGTTTCCTCTCTTTGCCCCAGAACTAAAGCTCTATCCCGAAATAAGGAAAGTCTTCTCTTCCCTCAGTGAGAAATGTCCTTCGGTGACTGCCCGGTGCAGGGAAGCAGCCAACATCTTGTAAATCCACACAGAAATCTCCACTCTGGGATTCTTTTCAATCGTGGTTATTTTCCTGCCTGCTAAATATGGGCAGCTCCCCTTCTTCCCATGGCAAATGCCCTTGGTCTGAAGGGGGAAATACCTCCAAGGAAGGAAGGCAGGGAAACAACTAGCGACAACTAGCATATTTTCCAGTGTGAGGGAACACAAAAAGACCCTCTTGCTGTTGAGGGACTGTCCTGAGTTACCTCAGGCTGGCCCATTACATTTTGCAGAGGCCATCGGTTGGAATGGGCATCTGCCAAGACCCAAGAAATGTGCCTTCTCTGCTAGTGTGGAATATCCTCCACCGACATTTGATTTTTTGAAAGGCCCTCAAGACTTGCTTATACTGCCAGGCCTGAACTTCCCTTGGAAACGGAAAGTAATCTCAACGGCTTGATTGCTGTGGGGGCCATTTTTATTCATCCTCCACCTATTTTGTTTTGTCTTGATGATATTTATTGCTGTTGGGTTTTTTTTTTAGATTTTTTAAATATTTTACAGTGGTGTTCATAAAATTAGAATAGAACAGAGAATAGAGTAGAGCAGAGTAGAATAGAATAGAAAGAGTTGGAAGAGACCTTTGAGGTCTTCTAGTCCAACCCCCTGCTTAGGCAGAAAACTCTGTACCATTTCAGACAAACGGTTGTCCAATCTCTTCTTAAAAACTTCCAGTGTTGGAGCATCCAGAACTTCTAGAGGCAAGTTGTTACTACAATCATTCTGTCAGGACATTTCTCCTTAGATCTAGGTTGCTTTTCTCCTTGATTAGTTTCCATCCATTGCTTCTTGCCCTGCCCTCATGTGCTTTGGAGAATAGCTTGGCTCCCTCTTCTTTGTGGCAGCCCAAAATATTGGAAATATTGGAAGTCTATCATGTCTCCCCTAGTCCCCTGGTTTGTCATTAAACTAGACAAACCCAATTCCAGCAACCATTCTTTGTTGTAGCCTCTAGTCTCCTAATCATCTTTGTTGCTCTTCTTTGCACTCTTTCTAGGGACTCAATATCTTTTTTATATTGTGGGGACCAAAACTGGATGCGGTATTCCAGATGTGGCCTTCCCAAGGCATTATAAAGTGGTATTAAAGTGGTTGTTTTATTTATTGCTGTGTGC